AAAATATAAAAGTGACAGAATATTTAAATACCTGTAGGCCATGTATGGTTTATGCATCACCAGCTTGCTTTATATTTTTCAGTACCTCACAAGTTTCTCCAAAGGGAACATGCATACTTTTTAAAAATCCATGAGCTTATGATGATCTTAACAATAGAATTGAGAAAGTTGAGGATTTTATACATAAGGGAATCAATGCACTTTAGCAATCCATGAGGGAACCATCTAAGAAAGTAGATTCAAGGATAGTGTTGCGTATAGAATTAGAACCACAATTTAAGTCCTTTTAGAGTATTAGCTATGCCATGTTATGCTGTATTTTTCCATCTGCATTACTTTGTTTCATTTTCTAATCCCTCTATCATGTGAGTAAGAAGAAATGAAGGGAGATATTTTCAGATAAGCCAGAAAAGTTCATGGTCTCACTTGGGAATTTTGTACGTAAGATTCAGAAATATTATCTTTAATGTGAGGTTAAGAAAAATTCTCTGAGATGTCATTTTCCCCTTCACTCACATTCCCATCCTCCCATGTTTTTGTCCCCACAGGTTGGCTTACTGCTACCTCAGTGAGCATTGCTGGGAATACCTCTCTGAAGTTCTCCTGTGTAACAAAAGCCTGCACCATCTAGACCTCAGTTTGAACACCCTGAAGGATGAAGGATTGACAATTCTCTGTGAAGCCCTGAAACACCCAGACTGCTGCCTGAAGTCGCTGTGGTAGGTTTCTTTAGGTTTCCTTTGAAGACCAAGCCTTCTTTTCAAGGTCTTGCATTGCACGGGAGGCACCTGGAATGGAGAAAGGCCACAGTGTCTGTGCCTGAAAAGGTGAAGGTTAAAAATTACTTGACCTAGATTCTTGTAGAGATGTTCATGTGAACAAACCTGTGCCTCGACTTTTGTGTCACAGATTTAATGTGTTGTAAGTGTCATTCAATGGAGGATACTTAAAGGACTAAGAGAGAATTATGACTTGGGGCTGAGGGACAGTTTTGTGGCTAAGAAGATATTTGGCATGTGTTCTACAGAATGAACACATTTCATTAGGTGGAAAAATAGAACCAAAATTCCAGGCAGAAGGGTAAAATGTGGAGGTGGGGGACCCAAAAAAATACATGTGAGAATTAACATCAATAAAACAGGGGATGCTTTAAAAGGGAAAAAAGGGTAGGAAGACAATAATGAGAAAGAACATAATGAAAACACTTAATTTCATGTTATAAAATTGAGAAATATTGGGGTAACCTTACAGTGGTGGTGGTGTTTTGGAGTCACCAATTAGGGTAGTATTTCATGATCAAATGCCTCTTTCCTTGAGAAATTTGGAGACTTGTGGAATTAGGCAGAATGATTTTACCTAGTCTATTAGGAAATATCAGAGTTTAGAAATTTGTATTCCTTTTCTTGAAGAGAACGTTAAAGAGCCACATGCATACTTTTTCTCACAATGGTGGGTTAGGATATCTGAGTCAATCTTTGAAATTGAAAGATGTTAAAAATGTCACATAAAATATTTTTTAAAACATTAAAAGCATCTAGAAACTAAAAAGATATTCTAAGTAGCAGGCTAGGTGTAGAGCACTTTAGGTTGTCCCCAAATCCTTAAGATGTATTAAAAAAAATAACCTTAAACTAGTACCGAATAGATACCTAGGAGAAGCAAGTGCAAGTCCTCTCTGGAGATAGATAATAGGATGTCATGATCCTTGACCTTGATTTATTCCTAAGAGGATCTTTTAAGGTCAATAAATACCACACAGTTAAAATAACCTAAACCACAAGGATTTAAGTCACAATGAGCAAGAACAAGCCAAACAAAAATGCCTTACCAACCTTGAGCTATTGGAAGGATCAGACTTATCTGTAATACAAAGCAATTATACTTACTATGTTTAAAGAAAAAGAACAAGTTTAAATTCTCAGAAAAAAGAAAGCCATAAAATAAAATCAGCAAATAAAGAATAAGATGGAACATCTAGAAATTACAAACATAATTGGTAGTAAAAACTTAATAGATGGGTCGAACAGTAGATTAGACAAAAGAAAACGTTAATAAAACAGAATAAGTCATAATTATCTAGAAGGCAGCATGAAAAGAGAAAAATGCATAACATATAAGAGATTATGAATCTTAGAGGATAGAATAAAAAGTTCGAACACATTTAATGGGAGTCCGAGAAACATAAAATATCAAGGACAAAATTTTCTTGTAACTGATGAAAGATTCCAATCCAGATTCAAGCATCCAAACAGGTCTCTAACAGGATAAATAATGGAGAAACTGTAGAACACCAGAGATAAAGATGTGATCTTTAAAATCTAACATGGGGTTGGAAGGGGGAACCATTCTATCTACAAGGAAGGACAGATGTGGTTGGGTGAAGAGGAACAGTGAAAACCAGAAGGCAGTGCAATGAGAGATTAAATGTGCCGGGGAGGGGATGTCAATCTAGAATTTTATAACCAGCAAAAATCATCAAGAATGAGGACATTTTGTTCTTATTGCCTAGGATTGCTTTTGCTATACGGGATCTTCTCTGGTTCCATATGAAGCTTAAAATTATTTTTTTCTGTATCTGTGAAAAATGATATTGGTATTTTAATAAGGATTGCACTGAATCTGTAGATCACTTTGGATAGTACAGACATTTTAATAATGTTGACTCTGCTGACCCTCGAGCATGGTATGGTTTTCCACCTGTTTATGTCCTCTGCTATTTCCTTCCTCAGTGTTTCATAGTTCTCCCTGTAGAGGTCTTTTA